TCAAGCGTCAGCTTGATGATGCTCTGGCAAACATTATGTTTCAACACCCAAATACATAATATATTTTCTTGTGCTCGTCAAAAGCACTACATTACTACTTTACTTTCATGGACTAACTGTGATCTTGTGAATCGTGTTCAGAACCAAAGTGTAAACACCCTATGGGATTTGATAAGCGAAGTCTTTGTAAGTTTTTTTCCCAAAGCAAAAATGTGAATTTGAATTTGACCCTTGTCGCCACTATGCACGAGCATGATGGCAACTATAATATTGAGACCTTTTTGTATTACGCATATAGTTCATGCATAAACAAGGTTGAAAAACTAACGGGAATCAAGTAGAGTGTTGTCGAAACAGAATCGCTTCTGACCAAATTTTCTTTTTCCATCAGGCCAATGGTTATCAAACTGAAGACAAAAACCATTGCTTCCGTAGTTAAACCATTATATCGGATCTTCCATGAGTTTGTTGAAGTTATTGTATTAAAAACAGGAGCTTATAATTTACATGTATAAATATCACTAATGGGAACCTGTATTTTCCCCAAGAAGTGCTGATTAAGATACTTTTAAATCAAGAAGCCCTAAAAGTATACTTCATGCTTTTTGCTTTGTATTAACACATTTTTATCTCAATAAAATGAGCAACTTTTTTGGCTTTATATTACTTTCTGTTATAAACTAGAAGATTAGCTGAAAGGAGTAACTAAAATCGGGGTAAGAAACAGCGTTGGTGAATATTACAACCTTTGGAGATTTTAATTCTGTTTTGTCTCTATCCAAAACAAAACTTTTGAAGCGTAATAGTTTTGCAAAAGGCGTTATCTACCATGTTTCTCAAAAAATTGTTTCCTCACGCCGCTGCGCTCTTCTTCAATATAAACTGTTTTCAACCCTAAAAGCTTCTCTTGGAAATAGCACTAATTCTTATTAACTATCGATTTTGAAGAATTGTTAATCCATTTTCAAGGAAATTGAAGGAACTCTATCAAAATAGCCTTTTTACTCACTTATGCGTAGTAGGTAACATAGTTGGTGATTACTTCCAACGACCAAAAATCAACAAGATCACTGAGGGTAATTTGCTGGGTCTCAAAGAAGAACTATCGATTTATGCATTCATTACCCGTCGTGCGAACAGGGACGGCGATGGGATGTTTCTGATTGGATTTTTGTGCTATATATGCCAAATTGGTGATGTCCTATCTGAAATCTTCAATAAACAATTATCCTCGACCAGCACTGTCTCCCGGAATTGTAACAGCCTGAGATGCTTTACATCCTTTTATCTGTCAATCGTTTGCAATCAAAGTTGTTTTCTAGTTCCACGGCATTCTTCTGTAATGCATGCCACCTGCCAAAAATTAATGGATTTTGGCTGAAAAAAGCGTGTATTGACTGAAGTTTGAAGACCCCAATTCATTTCACTTGATCCACTTCGTTTTGAACTTAAATGCTACCTTTTTCCAATTAGAAAACAATATCATCAATCATCATCAACATCAATCGGCCAAACAAACTAATAGAAAATAATTAATCTAAATTTGTTCCTCAGTTAAAAAACTCAACTTCGTATTAGGAATCTAGACCGCTCTGAGTTATTGACTTTATTGGTAACGGATTTTTGATCAACTAGGAGGGTGCTTTCTCTGTGGATCGGTAAAATTAAATCAATTACTCTTCGGAATCGTCACACCACATCGCAACGGTCACTACGAAGAAGCAACATTCGGTCGAAGGTCTAACTAACCGTGTACGCTGCGGCGAGTTCGCACCAGTGGACGATCGGACTCAGGAACTGTCACATTCGACTCGCTTGCATCCAGTTCTTCATATGCATCAAATGAGCACCAGATAGAACTCGGAGCTAGTTGTTCAATGGATTTGGACCGCTTTATTGTTTGCTGATTGTATCCAACCCATACACTGCCCATGGGATTTTCCCAAGTAATCTGGGTTAGCAAACGCGGAAGTCCACTGCAGTAATAGATATCTGCAGAGTCGCGTCCCAACAAGCCGGACACGGGTTTGATACCTAAAATGGGAAAGGAACGTAACGTGGTGACTTTGTGCAAGAGCTGCATGCGCTAATGAAGAGTAGACCAATTATATAAGAATAATTTATCGATCGATCATAGCTGTATTTGTGGAAACCAGTTGAAAGACAAAGAAGAGGGTTGAAAACTGAAAATTAACGGATCACTAATAAATAAAAAACTACTACTTTCATACTTTTCATCACAAAATAACCTGCTGTTTATAGAAACTTTACATTACTATTTATGTTGCAGTTGACAACAGTATGATTCAAGGTCAAGATTATTCAATGAAAAGCCAATGAACCGAAACCTATACAACAATAATTATTATGATGTCCCTGAGGTTCGTGTATATAATGTCTTGGTTAATTGTCTATTTCATCGACTTTACTATAGATGGGATAGATAGACTGGAATTGAATTTGAGGTTGCTTGTCCAGGATACCATACGTCATGAAGAATAACTCAAGAGTCCTTTAGGTTCAACAGTCTGAATATTCCAGAAATGTTGGAGTAGTTAATAGTCAACACTACTTAAATTTTGGTTTGAATTTCAGCGAAAGTAAGACTGATCCGACGGTAATGAAGCACACTCGATTATTTAAAGTGACGATATTTTTTCCTTGTCTCCAAATGGAATCCTAGACCCCAGAGATTTCAAGCCACAACTCATCATGTCTAACGTTTTCCCATTGTAACCTGTCTTAAAATAGGAATGGGTAGAAGTCAACTGGTGAAGAGTAATCAGACCAAATAATGGCAAATAATACACTGATCAGTGACGCTTAAAATCGTCCATGTGTTAAGGTGAGTTTCCAGCAACATAAATTCCTGACTTGGCCAAAAGAACCCAAAGAATGTGGGTACTATTTCAAAGAAGGGTATGCTTGAATTCAGTGCAAAATCTTTCTAATTTGGAAATAAACAAAAAATAAATGACGAATTTGAGCGATAAATATAACTGGTAACCCGTTAAAATCATCTGAGATTTTCCCGTGGTTTACTGTTAACCCCTAACATGGCTACTTTGCATCCTCCAAATAAATTGCGACTTATGAGAGGCAGTATAGGCCACAGAATGTTTGAAAATCATAAATAATACGTACTTTGAGTTTGTCCTTCGCTTGTGAGCAGAACTTTGCGAACCGGCAGATATAGTTCAGCTCGTCGGGCATCTGATTTCAGCGTACAGTAGTAGGTGCCCAGGTCTTCCTTGCCCAGGGTGTTGAATTGCAATGTTCCATCTTCTTCCGCGTGAAGGATCTCGTAGCCAGCATGTTGAAACCATAGAATCTTTTCATTGTTGTGATTACTGATGGGGCAATTCAGACTGAATGGGCGACCGAGTCGTGCTTCAATACGAACGTTCAAGTCCGGATCGTATACTAGCTGTCGATAGCCTGGGTTTGCCGGATGGGAATATTCGCATCAACAAAACAGATTGAGTGAAATCAGTTTGGGAATTAACATTTATGTGCACATCAGTCAAATTCAAGATATTTAATTGAAATGGCTGTTTATTTAGTTAGTTAGCCACAAGACCACCTCACACAGTCATCTGTTTTGATTGGATAAAAAAGGTTAGTGAACAGCTAACGAAAGTCGGGAGTTCGAATTTCTGTACTAATTAGGGATAATCAAAATGATCAAATTGTGCAATTTACGATTAGGTTTATAAATTTAAATCAGTTTGGAATTGCCAAATATCGCTGTTACAAAGTGTTCTTCTTGGATATTTACTTATGCACAGTGGTAGAACTATAATTACAACTAATACCTTGAGCGAATAATAACTAATTACCGCAAATAGGTACCCGTGCAATCAATCTCCGATAACAAATATAAGATTGTGCCTGAGACTCCTGTTGTAGCCCAATTCAACAACAACAGTTTGCTCTTAGTTTCTACCAACTGGGACTGGTTCGTGCTCCAGTTTGCCTCGAGCGATCTTATGGAATTTATTTATGTGCGCGTGTGCGTTTATATTCCTGGCGGCCTGTAAAGTTTAACCAACCCTGGCACAATACTGTGTGATGCTGATTTAAAATTAACCTGTAGATCTTGTCCAGCTGCTTCGAGCCCAATCAATACATGAGTTATAACTATATCAGAAGTTTCTTTAGTTTTTTTTCAATGCGGCCTATCTACTTCACTGAATAATGTTCTTTTTGTATGACCATATGACCAATAAAGTATATGGAAGGCACATTTTCTGTTATTCGATCAATTTTGATGTACTAAAGGCTGAGGAGCAAAATGTCATCGGGGTTAAAATTAATGCACGCGAAAAGAAATCGGTGCAGCACAAACTATTACAAATGGGCGGAATCTGCGTGTAGCAGGAGTCATTGCAAAGATATTCCTGCATCTGAACAACTTCTGTCAGTGCGAGCTAGATAGTAAATCATCATCCGATTAAAAATCAAGATAAATACGGATTGTTAGTGAAACAAAACAGTTTTCCCTAAAGATGCACTTTCGTCACTCGTTTCATTGCTGTGATGTACTTAATAATATTATCCAATAATAACATCATACAACGACCACCGATACGGCGATACGCCAGTCTTATCATCAAAGTGACCCTAATCTTATTTTGATGAGAAAACTAGTTGAACCGAAAACCTCTGTCATTTGTGTGTGTACGTGCGTACGTGCGTGTTCTTGAAATTCGGTCCGATCAGACCGGTACATGGTGAGAGTGATGCGAGTGCTTTATTCCATCTGTAAACACCGTTTCACGGTGATTTCTATTTACTGCACGGATGATTCGACTTTCTAAGTCGTTCTCTCTGTCCCCTGAGATAGCCTACGGGACAGAACAACAAAAAATGAAACGACGACACACCAACCAAATGATCATAAATCATTTTGCATTGTGAGAATCGGAAGCTCTCTGGTTGTGCTACTCATATTCTGCCTATGGTGGGATCTAGTGCTTCAGAAAGTTACAGTTTCGAATATGAATAGAGTTGGCCCAAACACATGAACTACAATGTAAGAATACTTTGTTGGAAAAAATACAAGGAGGAAAGTAGATTTTATTAGGACTCATCATCTACCGGCTAATTTAATCTAACTGACACCTATAGAGACCGCCAGATTAAAGGCTGACCGTCTTCATGACAGACAGTTACTTCCTTGTGAGTCTTTCGGCCCGAACCACATCAGACAGATTTAATCGAATTTGTTTGCGCCCACACGCAAATCCACGACCTCCTACTGTTTTGTTGCATCACAACGATGAAATAGTGCGCAAATGGTGCAAAATTTTGAAGAATTACTCCAAGAAAAAAGGGTTATAAGGGTTTTCAAAAAAGAATCATCTGACAAATTGTCCCTATTCTATAAGATCATTTTGCTTCCCCTTCATCAGATAAATCCCTGAAGATTTTCACCAAAGTGAAACCTTTCAGGTAAATAAGGATAGCAAACATACTGTTGAGCGGGTTACTGTACAGCCTACGCTGTTTTCAACAAATTATCAAGCTATGAATGCGTGTGTGTGTGTGTGTGTGTGTGTGTTTACAGCCGGACAAGGAAAGGCATCCGCGGGGAAGGAGGGGAAAAGGCCAAGAAAAAGAAATATACTTGTCATTTGATGAAAAACAGAACCGAGATTTTCTAAATATGAACGAGTACAATATGTTTGCTGTATTTTGCAACAAGTAGTATACGAATGACTAGAAACATTTCTCTGAAACACGATTTGTTTCTCGGTTCTTGTCGTTTATCAGGCGGGTCTATCTGTACTGCTTTATCAAGTCACTTGAATAAGTTTATTCCTGACAGAAATAAGTATTAATATTATGATATTTTCTGTGTAAAACTGCTCATTCAGATTGCATTCAGAAGCCATCATGCGGCAGTTAAAGCCCTAATACCGCTCTCTAAATGCATATCACAGGAGTTGAGGCCATTTGTTTTACGTTAGGTACAACTGGGGGCCGCATTAACTGAATATGATCAACAACATATCCCATACAGCTGAACAACTTAGAATTTCTTCTGATTCATTAATTCAGCCTATAGGAAACAATTACTTACATAGTGTTTCGTACCACGGAAAAAACAATGCTGCTTGGGTTTTATTACGCGGTGTCTGTTGAAAAGGCAGAAAGCCATGTTCGTAACCGAAAGTGCTGGTTTCAGAAGCAGTCTCGCTGTACTACACAGCGAATTGTCTGGGGGTAAACAATCTGTAAACATTTTGCCTGTCAGAGAGGATCATTTATTGAAATGGACTACTGCTAACAATAGGGACCAGGGATGTGACAATTTGAACTAACTCTTGAGGAAACCAATGGGATATAAAGGCAGACACGAATGTGACATAATGAGGGCTCCTGTGGTAATGTGATTGGAGTAAAAGTCTAGTTCTGGAATGGTGGATAACATGCCGACTTATTATGAGTGAAATAATTTAACCCAATTGCAGTTATATGTGAATAATTACATATGCGATTATGGCACAATCATCCACGCAACGATTTCCACGACTTTAACCCAACCGAAGCTAAGATTTCGTTTTTCATTTCGATATAAAGTATTTTACCACGGGGACTCACACTGTCCCTATCAAGTGGTAATTTCATGCAACATGGAACGACAGGTAGTCCCAAAGACCAAGGTCATCATCATCAATGTACAGCGTAATACGGTGAAGCAAACTTCACTGATCGCAGCCAACCTCACAATGCATACAACGTACGTGAGAATTTGTAATGAAGATGGGGATTGAGCCTATTTTTAGGGACGGTAAAAGAAGTCGAATCTCTATAATCAACAAACAGAGTACACACTCCAACTGTGTATACACACTATTTCAAGCTTTCTGGTTTGTTAAGAAGTGACAGTATGATCACCACTAAGATAAGCTGTATTGATTATTTCCGGACACCATCCGTCAAATGATCAAAGAAAACTTGTGCATCACCAGGCAGACAATTTGGGGACGGAAACGATCGGCTACTACTATGGGGCTCATCAGCATTGCGTACTACTTTTTCTGCTCCGGGAGGGAATCAAACCTTTACCCGTCTGGTTTGGGAGCCGGATCTCTTAGACTGAATTAGTCGACAGTCAACACCTTGAGTGCATGCGTCTGATATGGGCAGTTGGAGTTGAGTAGGGGCAATCACTGGCACCAGAAAAATATTCACGAGGGACAGATGCATCTGTCAGTTTGAGAGAAACGAGGGCTTTAAGTTAATTAATTTTACGGTATTGGTTCAGAATCAGTAGTTTGTTTTGGTAGGAGGAAAAAATTAGAACCTCTAGTATTTATTTGTTTTGCGCATTTATAACAATCCTTTTCACTGTCCAGGCGAAGCATTCCTTGTTCAACCACTTACCTTTGTCCTGACTGAATCGTACTTCAGTTCTGTACACGACTGTATTGGTTTGGGGACTGTGTAGTACGCATTCGAACTGACTTCGCTCCGTCCACCGGCGCACCGTTAATGTCAGATCCCTGGCTTTAGTGTGCTCCGTTATTTGGCTACGACGTATCAGCACCGTTGAGTTGTCCAGCCACTTTCGTTCGTAAATTAGCAGTTCGTCACCTGACTTGGCATATTGCAAAGGACATTGTACGTCTACTTCATCACTTTTATGCTGTAGTCGGAATTGAATAGAATAGAGTTTGGTCTCAGGGATCGCACTGGAGTAGCACTGGAAAACGGTAACACATGCAACAAGTACAAATGTCAAGTGCCACATCAAGCAGCGACCAAAGTCAAACCGGCCGCGGCTCAAGATCATATTGTCCGGCCTCCGGATGTCATAGATATTGCACAGAGTTATGTGGATCCTAGCCCGTTCGGATTATTTATATAAACACATCGAGCCGGTGTTATGTGATGTGCGAAGCCTGGTAACGTTGGACAAGAACCAGCTGGTCGACCAATTCCATTTAGCGTAGGAGGATAGAGATGTGTTTGTAGACTTGTGTATGCATCTGTATTTGTACGCGCGTGTATTTACGTGTGTATGCAGATGTGCTGTGTCTCTGCGCGTCCAAGCTTGCGAGTGTGCACACATGCTTACTTGTGCGTGCAACAGCTTGGACAACGAAAATTTGTCCACGTACAGAACCGCGAGCTGTTTGCCGGCCGGCCGGCCGGCTGCGCCTCTAACTTACTACCTAACTGGCTGACTGGCTGGTTAGCTGGCTGGTTCGATACCCAACCGCCGATGTGAGACATCCAAGATGGACGATAGCCATCCCTGTAGTACGCGATCACAGTGCGCGTCGACATGAGTGTATCATAGCGTTTGCGAAATATGTGTGGGATTGTGCGTAGGGTTACATGTGCATGGGTGCCTGTGAGCCAGTGAGTGGGCGCCTGATCAATAGTGTGGAGACAAACCAGCACAGCGGTATACGCATAAATGTATATATGATTCAACTGGTCAAAGAAGGCTTTTCCTGACCTCAGTTTATGGAATGAAGATTCTACAGCTTTCCTGTGCATACGCATGCTAGTGATAAGCCGGGTTGATGTGTTTTTGTATATACAATCAATCATCAAGTTCGTTTGTTGGCGGTTATTCAGGTTCGGTGGGAGCCTATTTGACAACTATGAACAGTTCCGTTCACAGTTAGTTTGCGAACGATGCTTCGAAAAGGTTGTACGCGTGTGAAAATGAGTCATCTGACCAATACTAGAAGGAAAAGCTAAAATATGGAAATATATGACACATTTATGTCACAATTCTCCTTCTAAAAGAACCATTTAAATTTCCCCTGAAGTTATAAATACTTGACTGCTTCTTAATGTAGGATATTCTTAAATTATCGGAACCCGTCCTTCTTACGGACCTTCAGCACGTCGACACATCGCGAACGAGTGTGATATGTAAGGTATCGCATAACGTGGTGCTTTAAGGGTGTCAACCAGATCATGTACAACAGCTGATACATCGGCCTTTTCGATAAGAATAAAAAACCAGATTGACGTTGGAGAAAACCCGTTCTTAATGAAACATTACACCTGACAATTAATGTGTGAAAGTGTCTATGTGCTTTTCCGTGTATTAAATTGAACGTCAGTCAGATGTCCGAATTAGTTCCCCGTTCCCTATCGTTACTCTTATTTACCTGGAAGAGTCGTGCAAATTGAATTGGCTATCCTCTGTTGTGTCATTTTAGACAAAGCAAAACATTGATGGAAGTATAAGCGCGACATGATGAAACCATGCTTATTGTACACAGTCCGGAGAGAACATCTCATTAGCAAACTGATTGTGTTCATGTAAATAATCGCTTATCATTTGATGTCATTGGTGCTGTTTTCTATAGAACATACTCGTACTTATTTTTAAAAATGGTCCTTTCTTACCACGATTAAATTCGTTCCGGGTTAGAGGAGACCAGTGGCGAATATTAAAATTTAATTCGAACCTTGTACATTTCCATTACCCTCATACCTATGAAAATATATTCTAACATTTCGAGAACTTTTGTTGAATATTAAAATGTTCAAAGCACGCTGTCAATGGAAAACCGATGACCTAGGTTATGCCTCGCATGTTTTTTATCGTTTGAAAGGAAGCTGGCTATTTTGAGCTGAGGGATCAGCGGGTATCGAATACACATGTATTTTTACGTGAAAGAGTAGAATAAATGGAGTATCCCATAAAATTCCCTGACTGATCATACGAAAATGAGCGCTAAATTATGAAAACAGGAACGATGAATATCTACATTAGAACTTCCTGAGATTGCTTCTGTTTTATGCATTAGTTCCCAGCGCGATCCTGTTGAACAGGGTGACATTATTCATTTATTATTCCTCTTTACTCTTCATTGAGAAAAACCCCGTCATTAATATTATTACACAACAGTTGCCCTCATCTTTGCTGTTCCAATCTTAAACAGTGATTTCATACTTCATGAGGTATTTGGCTCCCGGGGGTGGATAACTGATCAAAAATATCAGTTTATAATTCCGTTATCCCAGATCACCCGGTGGCAGTTTGGGGGCTCCTTTATGAATACAAGTTTTTCTGTTGGTTGCAACGTGACTAAGAATTAGGATTAGAATCACAAAATGAAATTGTTGTCATTAGCCAATACATCATTAGTTAAATCATTACAAAATTTTGATTTTGATTTTATGATAGTATAACAACAACACAGTGGTTACAGTACATTTTTATCACTGATGATTACCGAAATAATTTCCGACACAAATTCAGATTCATGTTATTTTTCTAGGAAAATAAGTTGCACGTGAAACACTTATTCACATTTGTGGGAGAATCGTCAAGCCAGTTATCCTGTTTTTAATATCCTGGAGTCAGTCAGCCATTGCGCGTCCCTAACGAGCCCTGTGTAGGTGTGTGCGTGTGCGCGTGCGCGTGTCTAACAAGGGAGCGTGAATATTCGTTTGCGAACTCTTATCATTCGCAGGACACAATCTTGTTCTGTGCGTGAACTAGCACTTATTTGTGTTGGCAATTAGGGCACGTCTACCAGTCTGTTTGTATGAGTGCATCATGAAATTATTGGCTTGGATGCCACCGGGAGTTGGAAAAAAGCCACCAGGTCCAGGTTTGTTGACAAGATCATATGGTGGTAGTTGTGTGTATGCGTGTGTGCGTTTGTGTGTGACCGCATACACACATACATATCAATAAGCACCTCATACATCAAATTTTGGCACAAACGCTCTCACAGACAGAGGTACACAGATACTATTCACTCATTGTGTGTACACCGGACGTGGTCATATGCTGGATTGAAATAAGTGAATCCTTGTTGAATTACGGAGACAGACAGATTCACATCCCGTTCCAGAACCCAAGCCCAAGCTTGAGGATGCATGGCTATGTGGTTAGATAAAGTACACTAAGGTGTCTCGATTTCATAGTTATCCGTGATGATCGTCTTAGGTGATACACTGATCTTAGACACAGATTGGCAACATGCTCAGTTAAAACTGACACTGAACTCAAAAGTCAGAGTGGATCTCCAGTATCAAACCACTATTTAACAGGAGGGAGTTGTATTGTGCAGGAAAATCTCGCGCTTTGATCAGCGTGTATGTAACCCAAGTCTCACTAGAAAAACAGCACCAAATAACGAATACGGTTGCGGAGGGAGATATGCTCGGAATAAAACAAATTGAAAATTGTCAATATGCTTGTCGAACGACTTCGATAGCGATGCAAAGCAAAACGGAGTCATTTTCTTCGCCTATATGGTGTTATTTTCATTTTATCTCGTTTGTTTTTACGGGCTATAATTCCAGTTGAACAGTTTAGACACCAAAACGTTACTCATCATGTTTTCCCTTCAAACTTTCAAAGTATCTTTGTACAGCTGATTTTCGCATGGCATTAAGTTCCGGTAGGTGAACAAATATCAAACGTTCACGGGAGAGTTTAATGATCTATGTTTTCCAAAGCAGTTACAACTTAACTTTAAATTATTTTTTGCTAGTGATATATCAAGATCTATGTTAGAGACTTGCTGTTTACGAAATGCCTGGGATGAAGAACTAAAATATTGTTTGTTTCAGCTGATAGAATACCCGAACACAACATCCTCACCCCGAACTGAAAACATTTACCTCTTATATCTGATGATCTAATTCATATTGTGCAACCATATGAAGGTAAAGTATATTCTGAACACGGACTGAACTGAAAAATAATCATTCAAACTAATTTGAGTGGTCGAAATTTTATTTACAGCAAAGCGGAGTCCATTATCGAAAACACGAAGGATACATCGATGCAGTTTGTGATGATTCGTATTTAAGCTGATTTCTTCGGTCAGGAACAGATAATGTCAAGGCCACATCGGTATAAAAAACAGTTAGCAGATGCATTGATTTATTGACGGAAGTTAGAACTAGTAACATGTTAACGGAGATTGAAAAATGCAAACGGTTGGAAATAGTTGAATAGAATTGTGGGCGTCACATATAACGGAAAATAATTTGATTTCATAGGAAAATTTCAATGAAAAATTTCAATGGAAATAATACAAAGAATCAGTCAAGTGGTGCAAACTGATATTATTGGTAAAGAGATCATAAGTTACTTCAGCAAAAAGAGTTAAAGCTACAGTTGCCACCCACCGTCTCTCCGGCACAAATAACCCACTCGATACCCCGTTTGATAGTAGGTGAAATGAAATGTCATAACTTGGCACCGTCATGACTAGTTGTTTAGGCTTGGGGTTTTTTCGACCGACTTGTTTATGAAATTTCGCTAGTTTCTGTGATACGAAACACATCGTATTCGTCAGTCCAACAAGTAAATAGCCGCCTGGCTCAGTTCAAAAAAGTACACTTTTAATTTCATAGATATTGAATCAGTGCGAAACTACCAAATTGCATGCACTAATCGGTTCACGTGAATTGTCGACATACCGATCTCGGAAATGCTTCGCCTTGTTTTCTAACGGAAACGCTATCCCAAGACATAATTTTCTTGTTTAGCTTCTGTTTCTGTTGTGAAATGAATAACTTTCCAAACGCATGTCAGTATGTCTCGAACGCAAACTGCTGAAACTAAGCTCATAAAACAACCACATTATCCACAGCTCACCGCGTGCTTCAAAACGGCCAGTCAAAGGCGTCCTTTTGTGATGCACAGATTAATTCGAATGTACGGTCATTGAGATTTGCATACGGGATACCCTGAATAAATTTATAAGGTCGTTTGGCAAATGGTATAGTAAACGTTGCACTTTTTAAGAAACTGAGCATTAATCCCAATACGGGGTTGATGGAAGGCTTGCACAATTT